GCTTCTGCAGAAAGAAAGATAAAATGAACCAAAATGTACGGCTTTCATATTAAACGTTCTATCTAACGTTTCTTAATCTATATTATATTGTACAAATTTTCTCCTTCAGGAACTTTCATATGATTGGTCACAGAACGAAAAAAAGTATATATACACATATACGTATAAACATATGTATATAACTGATAGTAAATGAAAAATAATTTCTATACCATATACATCATATTTTTTCAACAAGTAATATTACCAAATTTTTGAAAAAACATTAACTACCAAGTTTCATCAATAGTTTCTATACTTTTAACAAAATAATACAGCATTTATATCATTGCAGTAAACTTTAATAAAAAACATATAAATATGTACAGGATATCGTATAAAACCATGAAATGTATTTAAAAGATTTAAAACTTCTGGCGTGTTGAGATGTACTCTTTATTTTTTTTTGAATCCTAATAGTTTTTCTAAATTGTTTGAATTAAAATCAGATAGTAGCAATACGAGAACATTAGATACGATTAACCATTATTTCTATCCAGATGCAACTCACATAATAATTGACTTACCAGTAATTAATAAAACAATGCTACATTTTTTGCTAAAAAATTCAAAATTTTTATCTACTTTTAATGTGTCTTTTGATAAATGATACAAGTTTTTAAAAGGTGTTTTCACCAAAATAATCAATAAAGAACTTCAAATAATTTTTACATCTCTTATTTACTGAATATGAAGACTATTCATATAAAAAAAAATGCTTTTTATTTTATTGACTTTATCAATACAAAATCTCAAGTGTTCCATTTCAATTGTAATTTTGGTCATGATATATACTATTGTAAAAAAAAATTATTATTATTATTTTACCTAAATTTAATAAAACAATATTGCTATTTGTTATTTTGAAATCAACTTTTAGCTAAAACCCTCAAATTTAACTTTGTATTAGTACTGTAGCGTTAAAGTTCATTAAAGTTATGTATGTTCAATGCTAATATTGATAGAAAACTTTTTAAAAAGAAAATTAGATTTTTTGTCTTTATCGAGTTTTCAAGTAATATTAAGGTCCAGTAATGCTAGCAATAAACAACTGTGTTTGTCAAAGTACTCAAAAAACTCCGTATGAAATTGTTTTTGGTCAACCTGCTCGTCACGAGCATGACTTTTGGTTGCAATTACACAAGCAACATAAAAATAATTTAATAATTGATGAAGAAGATTTACCTGAATCAATTTCAGATATGATTAATACAAATGATGATAAAGTATAAAGTGTTTTCTTGAACCAAGGTTTATTCTATAAATAACTTTAGTTCTTAAATGAAGATTTCAGTATTATTTGTCCTTCTTCACCACTACCACTATTATCAACGACGTCACAAATAACACATACTAGTGAGTATTTTATGTTCAATGATAATAGTTTGAGCTTTCATTTTTGTATAATAGTACTAACAATCAAACAAAACATAAAAAAATTCGAGATGAAGCTGAAAAATGTTACATTCGAACAGCTGGTAATGAGTTTTTAAAAATATAATTGCTAGTATCTTAGAAGTGATGATAACTTCTATTTGCTCGAATTTATTTCCTGATTTTTTTGCACTTTAGTCATTATTTTCGCATAAAAGTAACCTTATTATGTTTCGAATTCGTATTTTTAATCATTTGTATTTTTGAATATGCATCAATTGATTTTATTAAAAAATATTCCAATATCTTTTCATATGAGTATTATGATTTTATGTAAAAACTTTTGCTGGATTTTTCAATAAATGTTATCCGAATTTGATTCTTTTTAAAAACGAAAATTCGTAGACTAATAGAAAGAATGACTTTTGGTGTTCGAAATGGCCTATGTGCATTATAGTAATTGCTGACAGATCTTTGATCAATACAGTGATTTTCTTATGATTTTTTTTGTATTTTCTATAAATCAAATTAGATTCCAGAGAAAGGAAAGATTAAATAGATTAAACTTTATTTGTTATAATTTAAATGAATTATTAGGATTTTTTTTACAACATTGAAATTTCGCTCTTAAAAGATTTCATTGCTACTACATTTCTTTACCTGCTTAATTTATTTGTTGACATATAAGATTATTAAAAAAAAAGAGACTTTCTATTTCATTAGATTTAACAATACATAACTGCAAATTTAAAATAAATAGTTTGAAATATTTTGTGCTATTGCTGAACTATTTAATAATATGATTTGATAGCTTATGTCAATCACTATTTTATTTTTTTACGACATACTGAAAAGTAAAATGTTTTATACTAAATAACCATTTTATATCTAATATATAAGAGAGAAATCGGTAGACGAATTGATTTTAATGATAATAGTACTCTTGATCGATTATTTTTTAAATACGTTATCGAGAAAAAAAGAATATTTTATATTAACTTTTTATTCATTATTTAAAATTCTGTCTTAATATTTTAATATTTATATATTTTTTCAAAATATCAACAGTACACATTTTTCTTTAAAAAGAAATAGATTTTCAAAAGCTATTTTATGAAAAAAAAATTTTGGTTTGCAATCCATTTGTTTTCTTGATTTATAGATTGGTTTTGTTTATTTGTTCTTTTTATGCATATATACTTTAAAATAAAAGAAAATAATTGCATGAACTTTAGAGCGTCTATATGAGAAATATCAATCTGGTTTGAAAAAAGAAAAAAAGTTTCAAGTAAATGACATAGTAGGATTAAAAATTTCTGACGTTGATCGATCGAATTTATCAGCATCAATTCTTCCATGTAAAATAATTGAAATCTCACATAAAGACGAAGGTTTTAATACACAATACAAACTTGCTACAATGAATGGAATAATTAATAATTGGTTTTCATCAGCAGATATTATAGATATGTCGGAAACAGTTTCAGCCGATTTGAGACAATTAGATACAAACATATTACCAGTTATAACTTTTATTCAAGCTTGTCAAGCGTTTACCAAATTTAAGCCAATTAACATTTGTAAATGTAGCGGTTTATGTAATACAAAACGATGTCCGTGTAAAAGACAATCTTTACTTTGTTGCACCAAGTGCCATCGTGGTAAATGTATTAGTTGTAAAAATAAAACTTAATAAATGCTTATGTTTTTTCCCTGATATTTTTCAATAGAAAGTATTGAGTACAGATTATTTATGAGATTTGCATTCCTTTTTTTACATATAAAATAAAATTTTAGTAATTTGTGTATAAAATATGTATAGCTACGTTAATTAAAATTAGAAAATGTGAATTTGTGGATTATCTGTCATTGATGTTCCTTAATATTGTTTTCGAAAACGTAGAATAGCTTATAAAGGATAAATGTAGTTACAAAAGATTTGTTAATACATAAGCATGTTTAATCGTTGTTTTTCCTTTTTTTTAATAATTATTTATCTATTTGCCTGCTCTTAAATGTTTATAATTTATAATAATCAAATTTAGCAAAGACAAATCATATGTAAATATCCTTAAGGATCTTAAAATAACATAATACGAGCAAAAAAAAAGAATATTGAAGATAAGTATCGTGTGCATTGTTGTTTCATATCCAGTATAATTATTACGAAATCTGACAAAACTTGAGTGAACTGTAATATATGAAACATTTATATTCTAATACAACGCATTTTTATTTCAAATAAAATTTTTATGTACAAAAAAAATATTATTTATAGATGGTAATTGTTAAAATTTATACATCCAAGGGTTTAATGAAAGTTTAGCAAAAACTATCACCAAAGTGAAAGGATTGCAAATAACAGTTAATAAATTTTTTCATGTTCAGTTTACTGTTTATAAAAATCGACATCTGATAAGTAGAATACAAGAAAATAATTTTTTATGTAATATACCTATCTATGTCTCACATCTCTTCTGCTCTACTAATTACAAAATAAGCAAATTAATTTCTTAAAATAAACTTTAGTTTCATAATGGATATATTCAATAATATTACAGTTGAAATTTATTGTACTGATAGTGACACTTTGTCAATAATAATTCATTATTATTTTACTCTATAATTTATAATGTATAACAGTTTAAATGATTTATATAGAAAAAAACGCAAACTTTATGATATTTGAGTGTTGATATTTTCTTTGAAATGAATGAATACGTATAATAATGTATAAAATGATGTATTAGTAAAATATTTTGCACAAATAAATTATAGGATAGATTTTATATATACAATATTATTGAATGGTTTTTTTCGAACTTTAAATCATTTTTTAACATAGCTATCTTTTTTTAATGTAATTTGTAAATTAAAAAATAAAAATAATCTGTAGAATCATCGAAATAAAATGTATGTTTGTTTCTGTTAAGTAGATAAAAAGTAGAGAGTATGATCTTTTGAAATTGGCGAACATGTTTGAGAAAAAATGTGGTAGATTTATCTATTTATTTTACTCAGTTTGTGTATATTGTTATTAAGAACTAAATTATAAAAAGGTTAAGACTCAATAATATATTTTTTGAATTTAGTGTAAAATGTTGTATAGCATTTTTTCTTTTCCTATTTATTTCCAGTATAACTATATAAGTTGCTTGATAGAGTGAAAAATTTCTGTAAGTGATTTACGACAGAAAGTCATTTTTTACCAATGCTCTTACGATTATTGATGATTTAGCTTTAATTTGTAACATATGTAAGAAAGTTTTATGAGCTTTGTGATTTTTTGTTATTTGTATTGTTTTGGACAAATTAAGTAAATTTGATGTAATAAAAGGATATTTTAAGAGAGCAGTATTAGGATGATAATATGTGATTATTGATAGTGTTTTTACATTACACTTGGATTGGAATTTGGCATATAATTAGAATGTTTTTAAATTTTATTATGGACAAAAAGTCATCAAAAAAATCTTTTGTACTTTTGATATCATTGAATGATAGATTTAAGATGAAAACTGCTATATAACATAAAATTATACATATTATGTAAATGGTGATAGAATATTCTTTCGGAATATGGGTGTGTTGACTGAATGTCTTTTTGTGTGTTGATGTACTAAATAGATTTCATTTAATTGAGATTTGTTTGTTCAAATAATTATTTAAGTTGTGTTTTTCATTTTAAATAGTAACAATATAAGTATTGTATCTAAAGAATAGAAAAAAAATGCATGAATCTTCACATATTTATTATCGAGTTGAATGAACAAACTAAAACTAATGATGTATTGATTATAAAAATAAATTTTTTTGTGTATTGAAAATTTAAAAATTAGTTTATATTGTTGTAGTGTTAAGTTTATGCTTTTATAGTTTGTTGTTAGTTTTAAAAAGTATAATTTGATGAATATGTGCAAAAAAATTGTTATGAATTTTTGGATAAATATGAATGAGTCTAGAGTTGTAATGATACTGAAGGATTTTGAGAATGAAACTGATTATTTGATCAATATAATCTTAATTAAATATGTCAGTATTTGATTAGATTACATTGATAATATGTATGGTTAGGATAATTGTTAAACTTATTAAAAAACTATGAGTCATCGTTGTAATTTCTTGTTAATTAAAGAAGTTGATAAGAATTTATATTTTTTCTTTATTTTATATCAGCAAGGTTCGAAGAATTGTTATTGATTTTGTAAGTAATGTTTTTTTTCTATGTCCTATTTGCATTACATTTTCTTTTCGCCATGATATTGATATATTAAATAAAAAAAATATTACAAAAAGTAATGAATGGATTTGATTGATTCATTATTAGAGATTGAAAAAAAAATACATATTTTGGATAATCAATAGTGTTGATTAGATTATTATACGAAAGCAATTAAAAACTTTTATATAAATTGAGTGTTATGTTTTTAAATCGAATATAAAAATAAAAAATGAAAAGGTTGTTAAAGGCTTAATTGATTACAAAAAAAAATCGTTTTTATTATTTTTCGAAACATTGCTATTTTCTGTACTATGAATATGGTTGACTTTTTATGTAATTTAAGTATAAATAATTTTTAGATAATATTTTGTGAATACGGCGAACCAAAGTTTTTATTAGATTCTTGTATTAATTTAGTTTTAGATATAAATTCAATTGTCTGAAACACATTTACATTTTGTGGCATAAAATAACTCGTATAATAAATTGAATAAAAATATATGTTTAGTGTAATATTTGTGTTACTAATTTTGAATTTTGTTTCTAGATTTATTAATTAATCATTGGAAACATTATTACAAAGTTAGAATAATGGCGTCGAATCATTCTGAAAATCTTTCAAATGTCAGTAAGTTATAATGTACAATATTTTATTCTAAAACATCTATTTTCTAAATGAAATTTTCTAATGGATGACAAAAGTGAAGTTAGTGAGTGGAATTAAGGTATTCATTGTCTTAAAGCAAGATTTTTTTTGCATGGTTCAAGGTTAGGTTCTATATCGAGATAAACATATGAAACAAATGGAACAAAACATGAGTAAATATAGGTGGAAAAGAAGAGTATACGGAGTAGATTCAGGAAAATTGCATATGAAGGTATGCTTCTGTAGTTGTAACCGCATGAATTCGTATATGACGCAGAAATATACGAGCGTAGCAATAGAATGTGGAGGTGAATGCCTTTTTGTATGTAGGAAGTTTTCTTAACTAGTATGCTTCTTTGACTTCCATAATTTTCAATGAATTATAATCGAAATGAATTACTATTTGAAAACATGCCTAATTTTTATGCTAGTCTTTTTTTTAAAGGTACTGAAGCAAATCTTATCAAAATTTCGGAAATTAACAACAATATTACATATTTGTAAGTATTTGTTAATTTGGTTCTATAATAATATAGAAAGGTTTATCTATAAAATGCAAAGTTTTTCTTGAAAAATGGAAGATAATGTGGAACAATTAAGAAAAGTGTTTAGTGAGATAGGCCTTGTACAAAAAAAAGGAAAATATAAGATATGTAGAAATTGTTATATAGTTTCAGAGTGAACAATATGAATTGAAATAGATGATTGCGAAACAGTATATAAAATATAAA